CCCAGGGTGAGATCTAAAACCTGCAGGACACCGGCCCTCGAGGCCTGGAGTTGCCTACCCCTGATGTACACGTTCACATGAAGAAATAAAGGCTGGCCTGTAGCAACAGTCTGGTCAGGCTGTTGCATAGATTCATAGATTTCACTTGGCCTGTTATAAAAGATCTGCTCTCCATTTACTGATAATGTGTGTCGTAGCAAAACTTTGATATTAGCTTAAACATTTTTCGCCCATCTCTCTTAACTACTAACTGTATAACAGTGTTTGGATTAGGCATGCTCACTTATGGATGTCAGACAAAAGGAATTAGCATTAAAAGTCTGACTGTAAAATAAGCCTGCTTCAAATAAAGAGATGCTACAGTTGAGGTAAATAAACGCCGCAGTCACTAATTTAAGAAATACAGTGATTTGACTTCAGACGGACCAGCAGTGGTCGTATGTCTTCCGTTGCAGTTTCACACATGCTTCAGCAGGTGTAAGTGTGTATGTGTGTCTGGAGCTTAGAGTCAGATATGACAGGCGGGCTGATCGTGGATGGAAACAATTACAAATTCAGAACAAGTCATTTAATAATTTGCATCATGTTGGACTTTTCTTTGCAGTCGGGCTGTGCTGCTGCTTGCTCTCATGTTTACTGTCTTTTGTGACTTTTAAGGACAGACAACACACTCAAAGAAGGCAACGGAAACCTGCCATGTTATTCTAAAACAATATTTCTATACACTCAGCTTAAACATAACCTTTAAAAACATCAACTCATTCAAGAATAACCAACCAACAGCCAATCCTGTACAGATCTCCCCTTTTTCTTAAATCTTTCTCGATATCCGAGTGTTTCCTTGTTTAACATTAGTCCTCCAAAACAGACCAAATGCACACTAGCTAGCAACACAGGCCATGTGCCAAACTACAGAGAGAAGCAGCTTGTGTATTTGCTGTGTATTTGTTCAGATGGTTGAAATACTAACTTCAGAAATAAACTCCATCTATGTTAGTCTAGAAATTCCCCGTCTCACCTTTGACCCTGTCGCCCTTGTAGAGGTTAATCTCCCCCTCGGCCTGGACTGTATACGAACGAACCACTACGAAGTGTCTTCCTGGAACTGCACTGTACAGCTTCCTTCTGGTTCCAACTGCCTCTCCATGACTGCTGGGGCTGGAAGAAAGAAAAAAATGTTATATATGAAGTGGACAGACGTACCTAATTCTACAGGTGTGCAGGAAATTGTGGTCCTCGTGATGTATTACATCACACATGTTGTTTCTTTAGTTAAAAAACTAAAAAACTCACATGTGAAAATGCACGTGATTTAAATTATGCACAGGCGGTCTAGAGATTACCAACTGATATAATGGTGCAGTTGTAAAAAGACTCATGTCAGCAAGTAACTCAAATATCACCACATTATTTGCAACACAATAAACAGGGAAACAGTTGCACACTATGGCAAAACGTGCCCACTATCATTTAAAAGCTACTTTAGGAGAAACACTAAAGGTTAAGAGGTAAACAATATTTTAAATACATGCTCAAAAGTATGAACAAATCACCGGAGGTTACATGAAAAACAATAACGGCAGAGGCGACATTGAGAAAGCTGCTGGCGCGTGTCCCACACTGGTAAGTGGGGCACACTGTGGGCTGGCTCTGACCCACGGAGCTGCAGTGGCTTCCAGGTAGGAGGCCAGACTCGCTAAAGACCACACAGAGAGCTAGCCAGGATTTGGCAGTAGTACAGAGGAATAATAACAAACTGCTAAATTACGACAGCTAAAAATCTTTGATGTGCGCATCAGCGTGACATTTGAACAATCGGCTCCTGCAGAGAGATCACTATTCTGCAAAAAAAGGCAGCATTTCTATGTGAGGAGATGGGACCACAGAGAGAAGAGTGGTTGGTGCTGGTAGATGTGTCTGACATGATAACACAGTGCCACATAGTGGGCAACCTTTGTAACCACAACCACGGAGCAGAAAAGGGAAATAAAAGTATGATACTGACTATTTTACTTGCCTATTGAGGTGCATGAAGCTGTAAAATTATGTAAAGTAGACTTTAGAGTACAAAGAGCAAAAACAGTTATGACAGGTGTTTTCATTTTAGCATCTTGCTCAGCATGTGAGAGGGTAGCAGTGAAGGAGAGGCTATAGGATAAAACCACAGTGAGAGAAAAACTAGGAGTGCTGGAGCGATAGATTGAGAGAGAGGAAGGAAATAGTTTTTTCAAGTAAGTGGGTCACCTTGTCCTGTAGACTGTACTCCTCTTCAAACCTTCATGGGCCTTTGGAGAGCTAACCCCATTCAATACCTACTGAGAGTACTCACACATTTTTCCGAGGGAAAGCTGTGGACAAAACTGCAACTGTGCACTGTAAGTGTCCTGAAATACTGCGTATACCACGAGAGGCCGATACTGTAGTATTCACACACAGCAGCTCACAGCTGACATCATGACTGAATATCACAGAACAACTTGAGCTCACTGTTGATGATTAACGCAGGGCTGTGAAAACGTCCCTTCCTGATGTCTTAGCTTTCTGCATATTTTTCACTAGTAAATATTTTAGATCATAAAACGAATTTAAATATTAGACAAAATTAAATGTTTAAATTAAGGGGGAAACGTATCTTAGTCTCCTTAGCTCTATGTGAAAAAGTGTGACAAATATGCCAAAAACTAGGAACTTTTTCACAGCACTGTGGTATTTAACACACATCCTAAATCTAACAGGCATAAAAGAGGACGACCCAAACGCACCAGACATACTAAGCACGGTGTATGAGTGTCGTCTTCTCTTTCACAGACTGCTGCATGAAACTAAGAGTCCAAAATAAGTTACAAATAGAGTTGGATGTCTCGAGACCACTTTTACGTGGTCTCGGTCTTGTCTAGGTCTCACTGTCTCGGTCTTGCTGTCTCAGATCGACATTGTGGTCGGGAGATTTGGAGTCAACAGTATCCATGACACACAACGTAAAAGCATCAGCTCTAAGAGCCGTGCTTACAGAGCGCTTTGTAGTGAATCAGAGTCGACTCCCATTGAGCGAGAGCCGCTCCTCACTTAATTTCCTTTGGCTGCTCAGCTCTCACACAGTGGCTCAGCTATGCTCCGATCTAATATCATTATGTGAAAAACAGAGAGGGTGATGGACGCGACAGTCAAGTGGAGCGACAGTAGACAGCGGTGAGGAGGGCTGTGCGAAAGCAAAAACACATAAATATGCCTGAAACCTGTAAACGAAGCATCTGGCTGCAGCTTAAAGACTTTTTTGTCTCGGTCTCGTCCCGACTTTGTCTCGGTCTCGATACCCTCTGGTCTTGGTCTTGTTTTGGCGGTCTTGACTACAAGTCTACAACCTTCATGTATTGTAGAAACAGTCGCCCTAACCAGGTAAAGTGCATGACATGTTTATTCATGAGTATCTAACTAAAACAACTCAAGTCTCATTAAAATATTTACTTCTTAGAAATAATGAATAATATATTTATAAAAACACAGCAACCAAAGGCGTTTTTGCTGTTGTCTGTGTTACGTAACTGCAGTGGATTTGCTCTTCTCGAGTTATTAATAAACAGAACTACAGCATCAAACTGCATCTATTTATAATTGAACAGATTATAAGAGTTTTCATTATATGTTAATCTCACAGTTTTATCTGAGAACCAACGTCTAACTTTATTCGTCCAGTGTACTTTTTCCTTAGTAATGGATTTTTTTTCAATCATTATATTGATTAAGTGTGAAATCTATTACTTAAACTACCCGACGCTGTCATAAATGAGTGCAAACCTGGGCACGCCAACTATCTGTTTTTCCCCAAGTGTCTTATTGACTCATGCTGCCAATAACGAAAGATGTCCTGATTAGGGCTGGGTATCGTCACTGATTTCTAGAATCGATTCAATTCCGATTCACAAGGTCCCGAATCGATTAAAATATAGAATAAAAATATTCTGCAGTAGATCAAAAACGAAAGAAAACCATTAATCAACACATGAACATTACCTCTGAAGTTACAGAGGTTTTATTAGAGACACAGCTGAGCGTTTTGCATTTTGAATAATTTTAAAAAGTTTAAATTTGTTCAGTATTGAACGGCAGAAATTAGGTTTTCTTTTTGGAAGTAAGTAAAAGGAAAATAAAAAACAGCAGCCGACAGCGCTGTAAACAATGGTAGACTTGTGCATAACAAGCAAGCGAATAATGCAGAAAACAGATTTTTAGACGGGAAACTGTTCTTGAAGTACAGAGAGAGAGAGAGAGAGAGAGAGAGAGAGAGCTGTGCATGGTGGTGGAAGCAAAACAGTAAAAGTCAGAGTGAATTCATGACGATGTTTTTGTGAAGCGTAGTTTGGATCTTCTTTTGCTGCTGGTTTGGTCAATATTGTTTGGAGAGACATCAAACTAACAGCTTTAGAATCAGCGCATAAAGGGCGTGAACACAAAGCGCCGACCCGCCGACAGATCAGAATCAGCGAGCTGTCGGCTTTCAGCCCCGACCGTGAGAAAGGCGACATCTCACTGATTCTGATCCGTGGGTTGCGCTGTGTGTTTAAGTCTTTGTGCAGAATCCGTGTTCCTGCTCTCATTTACTGTCTTAGCTGTTTGGTGGTTGTTGAAATTTTGTGAGATTTCACCAGAGATTCTGGCATTTCGGGCAAAATAAATTTATATTAAAAAATCGATTCTGGATTTTAATGAATCGATTTTACGTTATCCAAGCCAGAATCGATTTTAATCGATAAATTGATTATAAAAACCCACCCCTAGTCCTGATGGATGAGGAGTGTTGTCTTTGTGTTTTTGTTGGAATGTCCACTCAGACTTCTCATTTGCATATTGTATGGAGATTATAGTTCAGTCTTTATCTTACTTTAGCAAAGATTCTGCTCTTTTTAGCCTGACTGAAGAACAGTTTACGTGTCCATTCCCCAACCTCTGACTGAATTGCTGTCCATGGTGCTGAGAGAGACGATGTGAGAGTGTGTGTTTGCTCTCTAACGTCAGTTTGCAAAACCATACTTTCTAGCTATTGTTCTATTAACTGCTGTGTCATCAAAGCAGATTCAAAAAGTCTCACACTCATGTTCCAAATTCTTGTGCACTGCAGAAAATGCTCAATCTGTACTTGTTGGTGATGTGAAGGAAGCATTGACTACTAAGTCAATTCAGAATTAAATCCTGTTCTCCAAAATCAGCAGGCCCACTGAGAAGGAAAAACTGTCAGCCATGTTTTCCCTTTCTTTCTTTTTTTGGCAATTACCCACGTGGCTTTGAGGTGCTAATTAGACAGTGTTGATTAATACCAGCTGTGCATAATTTGTGCTATTATTGGATGATCACCTGAGACCATGGGAGAGAGGAGAGAAGGGAGAGGGCAAGAGGGTGGGTAAAGAGTGAGAAGAAAACATGCAGCAGTAGGCCCTTCCAGACGGACAGTCCTCTCCATCAATGTGACGGAAGAATCTCGGTCACTTGGGTTAGGGTTATCACTGATGATCACTTGGACCTCCGATGGTTGATGCCCCACTTACATCATGTTTTTATATCGTTTTATTGCCCACTGGGGGCAGCAGAAGGAGATGTTAACGCAGCACAAATGTTCATCTGACACAAAGCTGTAGCACTGCATGAACTGCTCACTATCTAAACAAAGTATGAACTACTATGGTTCACCAGTAAAAACTGCAGTCATTCAGCCAAAAAATAATAATGATAAATGGGAGTGTTTAACCTCACTTTGCTGATAATTTGCTGTGACGTTTGACTACAAATGGAAGTGAGTGAACAAGTGACCATTTAACCCTTTAAGACCTACCATAGAACCAAGTCCGCCAGAGCTTATATTATATTTTTACATGCTGTGGAGCCATTTTTGGGAGCATTTCAAGTTGATATACATCAATACAACCATTATAGCCCAAATCTTAATAATATGTATGCATTAAGTGCATAGAAATTACATAAATTGCAAAAAAAGTGCAATAAACTACAAAAAAATTGAAAATCGTTTTTGTTTTTTTAACATATATTTCTAGTTAGAGAAATTTAAGAA